GCTTACGGACTGGTCGAGTCAGCCATCTTTATGGGATCACCCACACCTTCAGATACCGACCACTGGCTCCGAATGCGCAGCGTAGTGAGTGGGCGTCTTATCAACGTGTTCTCTCAGAATGATTCTGTTCTCGCCTTTCTCTACCGGACCAGCAGCCTCCAGCTTGGTGTCGCTGGACTCCAAAAAGTCGAAGGCGTGCCGGGAGTGGAAAATATCGACATGAGCGAGTCCATCAGCGGCCACCTCCGGTATGAATACCTGCTGGGCAACATCCTGACGACTATCGGACTGCAGGACATTGATGCTCAAGAGGTGGAACGGGAAGAAGCTGCCCTTGCTGAGGAAGACCGTCGTGAAGAAGAGGAACGTCTGCGCAACGAGAAAAAGGCCGGAGTGAAAGATAGAGAGTCGTCTGCTGCAAAGGAGACCGTGAACAGCGAGGAAGGTGCTAGTGGCGAGGATGCACGACTGCAGAAACAGGTCGAGACACAGACCCAAGAGCACATGAATCAACACCGGATTCATCTGTTGGATCTGGACGATGATGGCAAAGATGATGACTACTCCAAACCATTGGTCGAAGATCCCTCCAAACATGCAGCTCTGTGAGCATTGACTGTCTGTGATTAGCTCAATGTATATACATGTCAATATAGATTTCATTTATGACATCCATTCGGGAACATCCGAACCCAGCGGCTTGGGCATTATATCCCAACCGGGCATTGCTCCCTCCACACACGCCGCAGGTTTCAGAGCCGTAATCTCACCAAAGGCAGAGGGTCTTGACTCCAGGTACTCGGCGAGATCATCATCTCTAAATGATATATCTTCACATTGAAACCCCGAGTTACCGGGATACTGACCCAGCGAGCGAAGATACTTCATAACCCCACCCAAGGAGACCTCAACCTTCCACGCAGACCCTGCAACTGTGCGATGATACAACGCCGCCATAATTCCCGACGCCAGGCAAAAACCCGCTCCATGATCCAGTGCTTGGCACGGCATAGCCCGCGCTGCCTCGCCAGCTCCAAAGTGCTCTGCCTCAGACACATTCATGCCCGAGCAAGTCTGAACTAGAGAATCGAAGCCTCGATTCTGACTCCAAGGCCCATTACTGCCGTACGCAGATAGCTCTGCGTAAATGATGCCGGGGTTCACACCTGCCAGATCAGAAGGACCTAATCCCTTGGCTGCCAGACTGCCTGGCCGGTAACTCTGGATGAAAACATCTGCGTCGCGCACAAGGTCCAGGAGTTTGGCTTTTCCAGCAGCAGAATTCAGGTCAAGCTGGATAGTGCGCTTGCCACGACTGAGATCGCGGTCTAGAGAGGGTAAATCTGGCATTCCCGGTCCTGTCACCCAGAGCACATCTGCACCGTGCGATGCCAGCGCCCGCCCAGCAACAGGGCCTGCAATCACCCGACTGAGATCTAGGACTCGGACTCCGCGTAGACACCGGTCATTGCCAGGTTTCAGCCAGGGAGATAAACCTTTCGGACCGTCGGAGGCTAGTTTGCGGATCTGAATGGGGAAGTCGGAGATAGCGGATGCCTGTGGATGAGCATCCCACTGTTCGTAAGAGCGGAGTACAGTAATGACCCCTCCAGACTGAGATGCCGCCGTCTCAATATCAACAGCAGAACGACTCTTCAATGCCTCGGCTACCTGGGCGCGCGATGCATTGCTCGGTAACCGCAGTATATCTAGTGCGGCTTGTCGGTGGTGCGCCCAATTATCGTGGATACGCACGTAGCCATCACGCGTGGCGTGCAACCCGCCGATTGGACCCCATGGGTCTGGTGGCGGGTGGCCGTCGATGCGGTAGAGGCGCTCAGACTTGAATTCGGCGCATGCGTGGCGAAGCGCTACTTGCACATGAGGTAGGGATGGCTTGCCGTTGCGGGTTGCATGAAATAGCGATGCTGCGAGAGCGGAAAGAGCTATTGTGCTTTGCGCTAGATGCCCGACTTTGAATGAGGACGGAAGCCCTGGGTCTGAGTTGGTGTCCGGAAGCTGGAGGGATTGCAGTGCTTGGCGCGGCAGGTCGAGGTGATCCCAGAGATAGGATACTGTGTCCGGCGCCGTGAATGCTGTTTTGTCTGTCATATTATTATATTGGTTGAAGTCGAGAGAGTTTGTAGAGGTGAAGTACCTCGGCAAGGGACAAGCGGGAAGGATAGATCTGTTGAACTGGCCCAAAGGAGTTTAGCTTGTCTTAAAATGGCATCAGTATATAACAGAAATTACATCTACTCTCTCCAAGCAAAGTCTCTGCATGAACTGGGTAGTATTGATTATTCTTCAGGTTCCTCTTCCCAACGTTCCACACCAGCTGGAATCTCCATGACTGCCTCTTTACACCAAATATGCACAGCTTTCGACATCATCGGCTTCGTCAAGCCCTCCAAACAGCCACCTTTCACGCTCAGAGCGTCCTCTCCATGAGTGCGATGAATCAGTCTCGATCCACAGGATGTACAAAACAAACACTCTAGCTGCCTATTACTCAGAGTTCTGCGAGTATAGATACCAATGCGTGAGGTGCCATCTGCATTGGTCACTGGCAGCTCAAACCAGGGGAAAACGGTCGTTATGCCGCAGAATGACGAGGACTGATGGCGACATTCCGTGCAATGGCAGACGAATATCTTGGTTGGTTCTGGGAGAGGTGTAGTGAATCGAATAGCACCACATTGGCATCGGCCTTCCATGATGAATTTTTTAATTTCGGAGGTCTTGAAAAGCAAAGAAGTGTATCCGAGCGAGTACCAAGACTGCAAAATGTAAGTTCTGCGCAGGAGGAGTGGATTGAGGTCAGCTCAGGGCTCTGTTGCCGCTTTGTTTAAGAAAAGTTCTTAAAGATCGCTTTCAGGACTACCCCGCTCCCAAGTTGATGTTACTGAAGAACCCGGGCTTGGCTCGAGATTGATGATTCGTTAATTCTTTTTGCATGTGCTCCAGATTTACACCCCAAGGATATGATTGCGGATATTGCTCGACCAGCTATCCTTATTTGGGACCGTGTAAAAGAGACGAAAATGAGGTACGAAGGAGTTGTTAAGCGAGTAAGGCCCAATTAGTCTTGCCTTTCTCTTATCGAACTAGTTTCTGGGCAAATCCAGATTCCGCTCGCGCGAGAGCAAGTAATTGAACATTATGATCAATATGAGTTTGGCTCGGGCCCAGAACACTTGGAGGCGGGTATTGATTTACATCCGCAAGACGCCCAGAACCGTTCATCTACAAACGAAAGCAGAAGAGCCCACTACGACTAGTAGTCACAAGGACACAGCGCTTCTCGACCAATCAGGCTGTTAAATTGAGTGATTTTGTGCCATCTTATCATACAATGCAAACTGCTTGTGTTTAAACCTCCTCGTTTCTAGCATGTTGCTGGCAAACTGGAAAATCCCCATCATACCCACTAGCCCAATCCCGATCAACGGTGCCAGAATTGAGAACACCGTAAACCCATACGACGCATTTTGAAAAGACAGGTTTTGGCCTAAGCGAGTGGTAGCAAGCCCGACCTGCATGGCTGTCAACACCAGTGCAACGTAAATGGTGGCCGCTGAGAGGGTCGTGAGGTGGTCACGGACTAGCTCGCCGTATGTTTGATAAGTGAATTGATAACCCTTTAATATGCTGCCGTAGCGAATGGCGTATATCTCATTGAGTCGCGCCAGCCTCAGCTCCCCGAATAAATAGCGATGGTTGATGTTTTTGGGATTAGTGGCCCCCTTCTTCAACAACTGCTGGACCAGTTGGACCCATTTCTCCCAGGTCAGGTCACGGGGAATCAAATGATAGCTGTGGGCGATGGCGATGTCACTTTCAAATTGGATCAAAGCGATGTAGGAAGCAAGAAAGCCCAGGGCGCATTTATATAAATGTTCCCTTGTCTGTCGGCTCGGGCCGTGCGCGCTTTGGTCTTGTTCAACACAATCTGATCCTTCGCAGACGAGATGCTTCGCCCAAAATTGACCATCAAGAAGATATCGAGGAAGTGGCTTCAAGTGAAGGCGCCGCGAGGTTTCCCACACCAGGTGCATGTCCATTCTTTCGTCTGCGGCAATTTCGCGCGATGCGACGACGTGGTAATTCAGGGGCCGAGGAGGCATCGGTTGCCCAGCCAGCCATAGATACCGATCGATCTTATTCAGCTTGTCCACGCGGAGATCTTTTTGGAGGAAACTGTGCATGTCATCCGAGGGGCAGATCAAGGTTTGCTCCACCGTACGAGTCGAGGCAGGCAGCAGAGCCGCCGTGGGGTCGAGCACATGTTTGGTGTTGAAGGGATCATCGCTGAACGGCAGTCCATAAGACATCGAGTTTAAAATAGGTACTAATCAGAGAGCCTTCGCGCACACACAGGGAGTTCCAGGATGTGCCAAACGTGCTTGGAGCACTTGGGGTGTCCGGGTGCTTAAGCGGGGATTCCCAGCCCCCAGCCTCCGAACACCCGAAGATTAGATATCATCCGTGTTGTTCTTTCCCACTTCGATCTATTATTTGGCCAACAAAAGAAAATCGAAAATATTTTCATATTAGCAAAACATTGATCTCTGTGTAGACTGAGCGCCTCCGCAATATGCATGGCAATTTGACAAGCCAGGAAAGCAATAACTGGGCAGGGTGGTCAGTCTCATATATATAGTAGGCAGTATCCAGCCGGCCAAAAGTTTCATGTTCAAACGAATAACAGGCTCTGCATCGGCCATATCGAGTACGGAAAAGCACTGGCCAACAAGCTTCGTTTCGAGCGGGTGTGCTGGTGTCGAGAAAAACGACCCCAATGCGGCAACTCCACAGATACCCGCTTCAAGGCCAGGTTCGTTTTGCACGGATGTCCACTTGTACTGACCAGGGTGGTTCAAAACAGGGTTCGGGAAACAATCTGAGGGTGTATACGGGGAATCTGTTTTCGAATACGGCAGTACTCATGTTGCAAACTCTGCCAATATCAACACGATACATACTGGCTATACAAAATTTTAGCCTTGGATCAGCTCTATATCGGGTACAAAATACCGCCTGGCCCCGCGTCTCAAGTGAGATGTGGGCAGCCGATTAAGGTATGTCGTCGGATTCAGGACTAGCAGGAAACTTACCAGTAATAAATCCACGCCCTCCGCAATCTGCACCTCCCACCGCGGCAAAGCCCCCGATAGGCTATGATAATTCATCATCTTCCCGCGTCGAATCCCGATAATGGTCCGATCCCCCATCATCACCGTCGTCACTGTGTTGCTAAGCCGTAGCACCTCTAGCTCTTCTTGCTTATTTACTGCCGCTCCCGTGTGCCATCTCCCCGGCGGGAAATCATAGAAGGGTGATGGCGCTGGCTCCCGTGGCGCCTCCACTGCGTCTAGCAAATCTTGTAGGGAATGGCTCGGGCAGGGCCGTATAGACTCATAAGATGGTGGCGATGTGCTGGTGTCATCTTCATCATCCAAGGATAGTAAGCTGTTGTCGTCCATAGCCAGGCCCCTCGTGTTGCTATTGTTACTGCTTGCGAAGTAGTCGCTAGTGTTACCGGCGATCACGGCGCTATACGGCGGTGGGGCTTGCTCCTGTGGCGGAAGGGTGCGGTTTGCTGGCCTCTGACTTGCTACAGGACGCCGACTGGCTTGGAATTGCGCGTGCTGCTGGAGCTGCTGCTGATGACTCTCGTCTAGGTGACTCGCAGCTAATAGTGCATTTGTCACTTGCATCAACATTTTCATCTCAAGCGCACAGCTCATGTTCGCGCTCAGAAGCTCGTCCCCACCCCCTCCAGCCTGCATAACCCTCCAGATCCGCTGCCGCCACTGTCGCCGTAGCTCCAGTAGCGGCCGTCCTGACGCGTCTCGGATTATTCGGTGTTGCGATTTGCGCCAGAACTTGCTGTTCACGGTAAACAGTAGCGACTGCCGCTGTCGCGAGTGTGGAGACTTGTGCCACCGCAGCTGGTTTACTAAGTAATCCGGCCCAAATAGCGTGTTCCCCCGAGTAATAATGAGTGTGGTCGCTGAGTCGGTCTGCAGATCCGGCATCGAGGCCAGGAGGTGGGTGGGCTGCAGCGCGATCGGGTGATCTGGAGCCTGGAGTGTCGCTGACAATCGCGGCATGGTTGTGGGGGGGCTCGGATCGACGAAGTGCCTGGGAGTAGGAGGAAGAGAGCTAACTATGTAAAAATATCTACAGGAGGAGCTCAGAGGAGAAGATCCATGGTATTATTACTGAAAGGAGAGCCTAAGAGGCAAAAAGCGAGAAGAGGGTGCGCTTTTGGGAAATCAGCTAACTCAGTCCTGTCATATGATTCATCACGGCCATGGTCGGGCGGAAGTTTGTCGATGACGGCGCGGGTCTGGATTCACATCAGCGTCATGCCATCTCAAAATCCTGTTCTCGCGTTCTTATCGCTTATCGAAGCTTGGGTTGAGCTTTTAGGTTTCCATACGTCAGCTAAACATGCAACTTTTCATGGGAATGTTTCTGAAGACAATTTAAGTTTGATTGTGATATACTGCGATGGAAAACAGGAAAGAAGGAACCGAGAGGCTCATAGCTCTATTCCAGCAAACGGATTGGTGAAAGCTGGTCTGTGAAGGATGATGCACTTCTCTATCTCGAGGCCGCGGATCTAAGTTACAGTTTGCTAGAGACGAAGTAAGGAATGTTCTTTGCCTCATAGAGATCCTTGTGCTGGGATTTGATGATATCTGCGGTCTAAAATGCGGGTTAGTCTTCTCGTGAAAATCATCAAAGCTCATTACTCACCTTCTCGCCAATCATGTAGACTGAGTTCTGAATACGGCAGTCGGGAATCACAGGGATAACGGAAGCATCTGCAATCCTGAGGTTGCGCACCCCATGTACTCGAAGCTTCGAGTCAACAACACCTTGGTGGATGCTCTTGGAGAGTCGTGCCGTGCCGCAGGGGTCTGTGAATTACATTAGTGCTGTCGCAAGTATTGATGATTGGCGATCTTACGGAATCCAGTCTGGCTTCGATCCAGAACAGCCTTGTTCATCTCATCATCAGAATGGAGAGGCATCTTCCAGGGGTACTCCCGGACGACGATGTCCTTGAATCCGGCACCGTTGGTCAAAACATCATATGTCCAGCGCACACCCTCACGCATTGCCAAGATGTCTAAGTCATTGGCAAAGAAGTTGAGGTTGATGTTGGGCTGAACCAGGGCATTTGAGCTGTTCAGGGTAACCTCGCCCTCGGACAGGGGCCGGAGCAGATCGACAATGACGGTCATATAGCTTCCTTGCTCGGGCAGAGGGTAGTGCCACTGGAAGGCGGTGCTAAACAGGCTGACGAAGTCAAGCTCAAAGTGAGGCTGGCCCGCGGGTCCAAAGGGATCTAGTCCACCATTCGCAGCCTTCGCCTCGCGATAAGCGGGATACTTCTCCAGTCGTTCATCAATGCGGGGGAATCCCACAAGCTCCAAGAATCCGGAGCTTGCAGGGCCCGTCTTGTCACGCTGGTATGTAGCCAAAGCCTCGTCATTAAGAGGACCGGCGCGGAGGATGTGATCGTCCAGGCCATAACCATCCTTGATCTGAAGAACGAAAGGCACAATTGGGTGGTCCAGGAGATGCTGGCCAACGTGAGGGGAGTCCACAACCGGATTGATTCCATGCTTAGCTAGTTCTGCGGCAGGGCCGATACCGCTCAGCATGAGAAGCTTGGGGGTCTCAAATACACCTTGAGACACAATCACTTCGCGGCTAGCATAAACACTGATCTCGGTGTTGGAGGCCTCGCTGATAACAGTGACGCCGGAACAGATGCGTGTTGCCGGATCGATGATCAAGTGTTTCGACTGAACCCCATAGAGGATTGTCACGTTCGGCTTGTTCTTCAAGTACAGGAAGCTACCCTGGCGCACGCCCCGGTGGATGGTGTCGACACAGTGAGTGAGGCCTTTCATTTCGCCAGAAAAGATGTCCTCGGTCAGAGGCTGGCCCTTGGAGACCCACGCTTGGGTAAGCGCATCGCGGAACGGCTGCATCTCCGGCACCAAGTCGGCATGGGAGATCTGTACAGGGCCTCCGGTTCCAATCTTGCTCAGTTCGGCCGGATACAACTTCTCATCGTCATGGTAAGTGGCGCACTTGCGCAGATATTCCACGCAGTTATCCCAGTTCCAGTCTCGGCCTCCAAATTCCTCCCAGTCGTCAAAGGTAGGTTTCGAGCCCGGGATCCAAGTGAAGTAATTGGCACATGTACTTCCACCAAGGGCCTTTCCGCGGGTGTTGGGTTTTTCAATGCGCTCGTAGTCGTCGCGCTTGATCATAGTCGTCTTGTATGCCCAGTCATACTTGCTTCCACGAAGGGTGAATGCCATTGACGGCGTGGTAATTTGTTCGATTTGGTCTGGGTTCGGAATACCAGCTTCAACAACCAGGATACGAACGTCGGGGTTTTCAGCAAGGCGACCAGCAACGGCATTGCCAGCCGTGCCACCGCCAACGACGATAAAGTCGTACTCAGAGCCGTTGGACACGGTTGCCATGATTTGAGCTTTGTCTGTTGCAGGGAAGCCGTTGAAAGATAATGGTTTTCTGAATGTCTAGGAGAAATTGACTAGGAAAAGCGTCGCTTATATATCATTATGTGTTCAATTCTTGCCGAATTCCGAATCATAAAATGGCGAGGTCAGGTTCTCAAAGTGGTAGTACTAGTTACTCAATACGGTTAGTTAGTAAATTCGTGGAACGTGGATATCCAATCTTGTGGTCACTGAGGTATTTGCTCCAGATTGGACAGTTGTGGCGGCAATTATTGACCCCTCATGAGGGGTAAAGGATCTCCGCACGAATCTGTAAGCTATACTATTGAATCACGGCCACGATCGCTTCAAGGTGGGCAGTGCGGACGGGATGCCGAGCCCGGCAAAGACTCGGTGATGACTCGGCACAAACGGTGCATACATCTCGGCCCGTAAAGGCTGAATTTAAGGTTTCGCCCAATAACGTAGTATCTCCAATTCTGTACGCCCAGGCACTCTGAGCGCCCAATTTGGACTTTTCGTAAGCTAACACTCCTCACATAAGAGCATACCACAGTTCCATTCGACAACCTTTCGGGGTTACGACATAGGATAGTGGATGCGCGAGGCACTGAGGGGATCTTTTGTCCTGTTTTTTCCTACCCCTCACGTAACTATACCAGGGATATTTCGGATACTGATCCATGTCTTTGTCACCGAAGCTGTCTTTATATAGACCTGGAATATAAAATTATAAAGACGAAGCCAGCCCCCTAGGGATAGAGCATCCACATCACAGGTATTTGACACGCCCGATCAAGAATTCACCATGTCGAAGCCTATCTTTACGTTGGCTGAAGGTACGATACTTGAATTCTCAACATGATGCCCTCCCGCTAACATCCTGCAAGGCCAGCCAGTTGCAGACCCGTCCGTTAGTACTACGTTGCCTACTTTTGGCAGCGGAGGCATCACGACCTTGGGTGACACGCTTCTCATTGAGACGCTTTCTCACTTTAACCGTGAGCGTATTCCTGAAAGGTCGGGAGTTATTCCATCTGCATTATGAAAGTAGAGCTGACACCGGGCAGAGTTGTCCATGCCAAAGCAGCAGGTGCTTGGGGCGAGTTCGAAATCACCAATGATATATCTTCCCTCACGTCGGCCAAGTTCCTCAATGGCGTGGGCAAGAAAACTCCCGTCCTTTTTCGTCTTAGCACCACTGGTGGTGAAAAGGGCAGCGCAGACACGGTTAGGGACGTGCGAGGCTTCTCTGTCAAGTTCTTCACGGAGGAAGGTAATCACGACATTGTGGGGAACCACATTGTAAGTCTTTGTTCCTCGGTCTCTTACACCTCTGGTTCTAATTTATTCGAAGCCGGTGTTCTTCGTGCGCGATCCGATTAGGTTTCCATCCCTAAATAGAAGCCACAAAAGGCATCCTGCCACTAACCGGCCGGATTGGACTATGGTGAGTGCTATTTGGTGTCTCTACTTGCTGGTGAAGCTAATCGTTCAGTTCTGGGACTTCCACGTCAACCAGCCGGAGAGTGTTCACGCTTTGATGCATCTATTTGGCTCTCGCGGTATCCCCGATTCGATCCGTCGAGTGACAGGTTTTGGCGTGCATACCTTCAAGATGGTGGCAGCTGATGGCAAGTTCCGCTACTGCAAATTCCACTTCCGACCGACTCAAAGCATCACCCATCTCTCTGGACAAGACGCCACTCGCATGGCTGGAGTAAATGCCGACTTTCATACTCAGGACCTGTGGGATACCATCTCTCGTGGACAGTTTCCGGTCTGGAAACTTTACGTGCAAGTAATGGAGCCCGAGCAGGCTGAGACCTACGGCCGCGCTCTTTTTGATATCACCAAAGTCTGGCCCCACAAGGACTTCCCGTTGCTTGAAGTCGGCCAAATGACTTTAAACAAGAATGTATGACAGGACTTTATGAGAAGCAAGGTGTACATGCTGATGAGGAATCCAGCCGGATAATTATTTCGCGGAGATCGAACAAGCCGCATTCTCGCCTTCCAACATGGTCCCTGGGATCGCAATGACACCGGATCCTAGTAAGTATTTCCTAACATTGCTCCTGGTATCTGACAGGATACTGAATACCCCTGCATATAGTGTTGCAGGCACGCATGTTTGCCTATCCTGACGCTCAACGATACCGTTTGGGGGTGAACTACACACAGCTTCCTCCAAACCGTGCAATTTGCCCTGTTTACGCGCCCTTTGAGCGCGATGGCATGGCGACCATGACCCGGAACTATGGAGGTGACCCGAACTATGTGCGCAGTACGTTGAGTCCAGGCGTACCCAGCCAGGTGGTTTCCGACGTGCGACACACCGAGCGCATCGAGCAGAATGCCACCCTCGGCCGGAATGAGATTTTGGTTGATGATGAGGATTACCTCCAGCCACGAGAGCTGTGGAACAGGGTCTTTGACGAGACCGAGAAAAGGCAGTGGGTGGCGAATGTGTCGGAGACCTTGGAGGACGTGCCTGCACAGCTGCGGGAAGCGGTCATGGTGATGTTCAGCAAAGTCGACCCTCGTATTGGCCAATTGATAGGCGCTAAAACGAAGAGTAGCTCGCGTCTTTGAGCCCTTAGATGTGGACTGGGAGAATTTCCTGAGTCTTAATGTGAATCTTGATTTTTAATAAAAATCCTCGCTATAAGCAAGCCGCCCACCGGCATAACTACTATTATTTCGAAGAGCCTGACAGAAGTACACAGGAGAGAAATGTCAAACCATGAAAATTACCGTTGGGAGCTGAAATGGGGCCCTTGGCACCTCTTGGCCTAGCGGTATATTTTGCGAACTATTTTGGTTGTCAAGAAACGAAAAGGGCAACCGATAAGAGGAGGATGGGAGGACGAATAAGAGTCAGGCGTGGCGGGAAGTTTGGCAGTGGGATCGCAGCGTAACTTTGCAGGCCTGCGATTGTCAACCCCTGCACTCTTCTCACTCCCAACGGTCAAGATGAAAAGAACCTTTGTCATTTTTATTATTCGTGATCTGAGAAGGCGGGTCCGGAGATCGTACGGAGATCAAAGATTTATTCGACGTCATTTTATGCTTCGAAGGCGAATATCGAATGTGCCTGGACCAGACTAGTATCCGTATTCGAACCAACCCAACTCGTCCCGCCCGGTGTGATACGATGCAACCTCGCTTGAGGCTGACGCCTCACCGTGTGGTCTAAAATGTGACCACTGAGACCAGACGCCCTCGTATCACCGACCTGCTTATCTTAAAACGGGACGGGCTCACACGAGTCACTGTTGGGTGTTGGGACATACTACTGGTCCAGCACCGCTGTCGCACCCTGCAGGGTCTGCAGGCAAGTCTGCAGGAGAACGAAAGCACTAGGAGAGAGCCAGATCTCCCAATAAGACTAATCTTCAGGCCATCGTGGCGTTCCAGATCTTGGCTGGACCCCTAGCAATATAAGGAAGATGGCCGCCGTTCCACGACAGGGGCCAAGCATGTCTGGTCTGCTCTTGTCTGCTCGCTATGGCATCGCACATCCCGGGGTGTCGCATGCGATCGGCGTGCAACCCCTGCCACTTTGCTAAGCTACGCTGCTCAGGCGGCTCGCCATGCGCCAACTGCCAGATGTCCAACCACCCGTGCGTCTACAGCCTGTCCAGCCGCTTGGGGCGGCCCAAGGGAGTCAAAAACAAGCGAGCGGCCAGCGACTCTGCGCGCGCGACATCTACCCGGTCGAATCTGCAGGAGACGACCCCCAAGCGGCCGGCGACGAATGGCCACGATGTTTCCACGACGGCCAGCGCGGATCCGGAAGGGATGGCCGATCTCAATCGCCTGGTCCACGCGAATTATCCCGTGCTGCCGGACGAGCTTGACCTTTTCACAGTATGAACCTCGATCTGCTTCCATGCCCGATGGCTCAATTGCGTCTAGACTAACATGACACATATATCTGCCAGGCCTTTGCAGCCTATCCTAATGATCTCCCGTTGCCGCTGCACAGGTCGGCAAGTGGATATGTGACACCGTCCAACAGCATCCACGACGACGTCGCCTCGCTCGAGGTCTCCGGCCGGTGCATATGCGCCCAGCAACACGCCGACCTGCTCTCTCATCTTCGCGCGATGCGCCAGCAGCCGGCCCCGATCTCCGTGGACGCCCTGCTGGCGGCGGGCCAGCGCACCCTGGCCACATGGAAGCACTTCAGCCAATGTCTGGCATGCAGCAGACCCGTCAATGAAGAGACCATGCTGCTCTCGGCCATCAGCCTGCGTAGCATGTTGCGCCTGCTACAGGCCTTCTCGTATGTCGTGACTGAACACCCGGTGCCCACCAGTCTGCTGTCCCCGTCCTTAGAGGATCCTGACGGCCCGCTGAGCATGACCATCGGCGGATACCAAATCGAAGGGGATGAGCGACACATGGTCGGGAACATGTTGGCACTGCATACGCTGAACCGCATCGAGTTCGCCGTCTCATGTCTCGCGGAGCGCGTCGCCAGCTGCACACGGCCGGGCACATCGTCGGCCGAGAGGATGCCTGCGAAGTGGACGGCGCCGGATGACAGTGAGCTGGAGAGTGACCTACAGCCGGTACAGGTGATTCTGCAAGGAATGGAAACGGCGATCAGGAAATTGAGCCAGGCTCTACAGTGGAAACATCGCGCTGCGACGATGAAGATGTACGGCGGAATGGGATAGTAATAGAGCAGAAACAGCAGTCTATTTAATAAATCACTAGTTAGAGATAGAAACAGATTCCCACATTGCTTGCGCTTACAAACCAAACCATTCTAACATAACTAGTTGTCGCTCAGAGTCAGGGCAAAATAACCGCTACACCAAAAATGCACCAGCCATTCTTAGTCTATATCAAAACAAGTGGATCGTTGATCGGCCACTCACTACCCAATTGTAATATGGAAATGTGGTCAAAAGTATACGATAGATGCCTGGCATTCTGAGTCTAATCTAGCTATCTGTTTATAGTATAGAACACATGGTAACCGAAATCAACGTACAATGTCAAGAATGTCAAAAACCGAAAGTCAGTCAATGCTATAAAAACTTTAATTCATGGTTCCATCATGATTACAAGCTGCCAGTCTATAGTCACACCCAGATCGCCTACCATAGCTCAGTTGATGATCAGGAGGGTGCCTGAGGTGTCAGCGCCCACTGCCGCCTGTAGGTCGACCTTTCCTTCTGGGAGATCACTGAGGAATACACTCACTCTCTCGTTCGCTTCTCCCTCCCCAGAGATCTCCACGAACAGGTCCTTGCCATGGGTCTCTCCGACTCCCCTGAGTCTCGACGCCATCAGTTGAGGATAAGGAAAACCCTCTTGCCGCCTGCGTGGACAAAATGGTCAGGGAGGCGCCGTTGCTGAAATACGATACCGAGCAGAGCATAGCCGCCAACGAAGGCGGCTTCGGCTTTCATGCGGAAATGCTCGCAAAGATGGCAAAAATGAACGACAAGATCGAGAAACTCGAATCCCATTCCCAGAAACTCGAATCCCATCGCCAGAGCCATCTGGATCTCCGGCAGAGGGCCGTTTCCACGTGGGTGCGAAATGCATTTGGCAAAGACACAGAACACCGGAAGGAGGAAACCCGCAGACTGAACAGAGATATCATCGACCGTGGCGACGTGCGATCCGATGCCATGGTAGTTACTGAGCGCTACAAGAAAAACAGCATCGAAAGGCAAAGTTTCCGTACTCTATATGGCCTCACGCCGGAGAATGTGAAGGATCTTGGTATTGTCTACAAACCCTTGGTGCTCTTATTATCGCTAATACGGTCTAGACCAGCCAAAGTGCTACGGAGCTCTGCAGGCGTTAGATAGAGTGGCCTCTATCCTGCTCACAGACGCTCGGACAAGCCTCCCTAACGAGGCGATATGGAAGGAACGCGAGGATCTTGTCGCCCTGCTGCTGGAGGAGAGATATGAAGAGGCTGAGAAGATGAGCAGCACTTTTCTTTGTGACGACGAGTCGTCTGTGGCTGAAGAGTAGCCCTAGTCTTGCCAAAAAGCTGGATATTGCTATCCAATAAATTACTTTTAAGAAACAAACATCTTATGATCACTTGCAGTCTTTCCTTCTTCTGTTCCTGGGTCAAGGAGGAGAGTGCGATGCCCTCGGTCGACCTCATTCACGCCCCTCCAATGTGTAAGCAGCTCCAGCCTCTGTCGCTCATCTTTTCTCTATAATGCTTCGCTTTATCCCTTGAGCCAATCGTCCACAAGCCATGCCGTGCTATCTCGTAAAGCGTTACGGGGTCTCGGTCGATATAGTATGTGTGGATATCAGACGCATTGACATGGCTTCGTTTCTCCTCGAAGAACTTGAGAAGGTAGGATGGAGCTGAGCAGTGAACCAACTTAGAAAGCCATCAGTCGGGAAAAGGGGATAGAGATGCGAAATCGTCGGAAGCGATCGAGCATACGACCGGTCGTTCTTCTCTCGGTCTGAGTCCCGCTATTCTCCGTTCAAGTCCTCAATGTCTCGGTCCCCTCGCCTCATCAGATGCAGGTCCTCATACTTCTTGAAAAAACACTATAAACCTTGAGATGCTCGAGAATGCCACCTTCATCAGGAATCCGAGCCAGGCTCTACAGTGGCAACATCGCGCGGCAACAGTGAAGATGTACGGGGGAATGGGATTGTGATCGAACATAAAGCGCAGAAACAGCAGTCTATTTGATCCATCGCTAATAGTAATAGAAACAGATTCCCTCATTTTTTGCGCCTACAATCATTAACGTAGTTACTAATCCCCAATTGTCTTTCCTGACTAGACCCCCCTCGCTTCCATCCTGGCCCGCAGAGTCCGATAGAAGGCGCCGACATTCTCTGGCGCCAGCAGCGTGTAATGATGCCCCGGCACCTCGTGGAAGTGTACGTCGTCGACAAAGTCCGTCCAGCGCGACAGCTTCTGCTCCAGCCACTCCGTCTTGGTGCTTGCCACCGCCTCAATCGGCTGCCCATAGAGCACCTCCAGCGCTGGAACACGACCCTGGGGCTCGTAGTCGCGCGCGATGACGTGTGAGTTGAGCGCCAGGCTAGTCCACGTCGCCAGCCGGCTCTTATCCAGCCCGAACTCCTCCAGGCGGTGCTCCGAGGCCGACGCCAGGAGCAGATCCACCAGCTGGCCCTTATCAGTGTCGTCTTCTAGCCCTCCCCCGAGTGCCCGCAACTGAGCGACAACCGTGGCCTCGGCCTCTGCGTTGAGCAGCAGATCAAAGAAACGCGCCAGCGTCAGCAGCACGTCCGCCCAGCCGCCATGGCGCATGCGCTCCTTGATATGCGGCGGCTGATCGAACACCGCCAGGAAAGGTGTCGCGAACCCGTCCTGCCGCAGCTGCTTGACAATCTCGAATGCCACCGTGCCGCCGTACGAGTAGCCTGCGATGGCGTACGGCCCGGCGGGCTGCACACGCTGGATAGCCGTGCGGTAGGCGTCTACCATCTCACCCACACTACTGAAGAAAGGCTCCCCGTCGAACCCTCGCGCGCGCAGCGCATACACCGGTCGATCCGTGAATCGGTTGGCCAGGTGCAAGAAGACCAATACCTCGCCGACGCCCGGGTGGACCAGCCACAGGGGAGTTTTGTTGCCCCCCGTGCGGAGCGTGACCACCGGGTCGTAGGGCTTGCTAGAACGGTCCGTGGCAGTCGGGTCTAGAGCCGCAGCGAGGCCTTCAATTGTCGGGTGACCGATGATCGTTGTGACGGGGATGCGGTCCGGCAGGTCCGGCTCGTTCTGCAGTAGCCACTTAATCTGGAAGATCTCCAGCGACGAGCAGCCCAGATCGAACAGGTTGGTGTGGACACACAGCTCCGCCCTTGATGCGACAAAAACCTCGGCGAACACCCTCTGCACTGCCGCCTCGGCGGGCGTGGTGGGCTGCAGCGACGGGCCGTTGGTGGCCTGCCCCAGGAACTCCTCGTCCTGCTGGATGCTGGAGTCGTACATGCCGGCCTCGAACGCCTTCTTGATCTTGGCGCGCGAGAGCTTGCCCAGAGCGGACTTGGGCAAGAACACCCGGTCCAGCGGGATGATACGATGCGGCCGCGCCATGCAGTGGTTCATGACGACCGTGCGAATTGCGTTGCGCGTACTCACGCGCGCAGAGACGTCGTCCACGGCGTAGGTGGGTAGATACACCACGCAGAGTGTTTCGGACGCCGCACCCGGCACCCGATAGGGGAAGATGGCCGTGTACGACATCGCCACGCCGGGGATGCGGGCGTCCTCGATTGCGCCCTCGATCTCGTGCGGGTAATACTTGAGACCGTTGATGTTGATCGACTCCTTGCCACGGCCGACCAGATGCAGCCGCTGGCTCTCATCCAGGAAGGCCAAGTCACCCGTGACAAACCAGCCGTCCGGCGTGAAGGCCTCCTGCGTCGCGGTCGGGTTGTTGAAGTACTCCTTGAACACGTTAGAACCGCGCACCTCGAGATGGCCGGTCTCGTTGGCGGCGCAGACCCGGCCCTCGGTGTCTCGCACCTGCATCTCCATGCTCGGGATGCAGTGGCCTAGCGAGGTGAACTCTCGCGCTTGCACAAGGTCGCCCGCAGGGCAGTCTTTGCTGTATATACTACCAGCACATGTCTCTGTCATGCCGAACCCGGGCCGGATGAAGTCGCAGGGGGCCCCAAACGGCTGGAGCAACTTGGTCAGGGCGGCACACAGCGCCGTTGAGTTGGCTTCTCCGCCAGAGATCAGGCAGCGCAGGGAGGAGACATCTGGGAGGCCCTGGCTCGGGGCGTCGTCTACCGATCGATGCGGCAGTATGTTCTCGAGGGTTTTCTTTACCGTTGCGAGGAAGAAGTTCGGCGCGAACGTGTATCCCACTGCGTGGCGCTCGATGAGCCGCAAAAACGCGAGCGGGTTGGCCAGAAGGTCGCCAGCGTGGACGTGCACCTGGTCTGCCCCCAGATTCATTGCATGCAGGTGAATCTCTGTGAGGTTGGCGACGTGGTCCATGCCGATCCAGTTCAGAAAGACCTCATCGCGATGTGTGCCGTGGTACACGGCTTTGCTCGCGACGGCATGCAGGATCTGGCCATGGCGCAGCGCTACGGCCTTCGCATTCCCGGTGCTCCCAGACGTGAGCATCAGGGCGGCAAGGTCCTTGGGTGACTGCGTGTACCCGTTGTTTGAGATATACTCGGCCCGGAGAGGAGCTTGGTGGGCCGTCAGATCCTCGACTGTGTGGATGACAAGTCCAGGCAGGTCGAGAAACTCGGACACCAGATGTTCCCTGGTGAGCACTACGGGGCTCTGCAGGACATCCTGCAGATGCAACAGGTGCTTGCGGCGTTGGTCGAGGTTGTTAGTGAACGGCGTCGAGATGGCAGGCACTTGGCCGGCCGCCAGCACCGCCCACAGCCAGCGGACATTATCTTCATGGTTGTCCAGGTGGATGAGGATGATCGTCTCCGGCGTCAGGCCCGGGATGGTCTTGATCGAGTTTCCCAGGACAATTGCATCCCCCAGGAGATCGGGATACGTGATTCTGACGGGCTCGCCTTCCGTCTGTCCAGGCGGGTAGATCAGAAGGCCCTTCTCGGGGGCAGAACGAGCAGCCCTGGTTAGGGCTTCGAGCAAGTTTTTTGTCACAGGAGCCATGATGCAGATGTGGATATCAATCGATGGACAAGAAACACTTATCCAAGTGTACTAAACATCCTCGCAATGTCGGTTGAGGTCTTATTCATGGTAGTCGTCCATGGGACCATGTCCGACCAGCTTATATGATTCCTACTCTGCCCGGGTTTCTACTCCATCTGGCATCGCGATTTCTGGAAGTAGAGATTGCCGTCGATAAACGGCGCTACTGCCATGGAGTCCTGGCTCTGCAAGTGGAATCTCGCCGATCTCGAATGGGGATATTCTCTGGCAGTGGGTCCGCAGAATGGGCCGATAAACCTCCTGTTAGATGCCGATTGTAGTGCTTACTAGAGGGATGCCGAGACATGCCCGGCCGGCTAAGGCAGGGACTCATCGTGTTCGTCTGAATGGCGCCATCCGTTGAAGCCACGCCCGTTTCGTGATGGCCCGGATCAGTGCAGCTTTCTCTGGCCCGGATCCCGTCTGCAATCAGAGGAATCGCCATCACGGGCATTTGGTTGTGTGTTGGCGTTGGAGCATTTGGTCTACAATCTAGAACAGTGCTGCTGAGGTGTAGGTACCCCTGGTCGTTTCTGCGGCGAAATAGCCGTCTCATTTGGTCTATAACTGCCTCGCCCTTTTGTTTCTGCGTCACTATCCGATTTCTCTCTTCCTGTCCCGCGAGCAGACACAATACAATGGCGCCTTCTGAGGTCAAAATAACTGAGGCTACTGAGGCTGAAAGCGCGTATGAAGTGGTATGCTCCGGTGTTTATTCCACCTGGCTGATCGCTCACTCATCTTGTCCAGTCATGGGAAGGCATTGATGATACCTGCAATCCGCGCAATTGGAGCACCGCGAAGAAATGGCGAAACGTGCTTCTGATCAGTGTGCAGGCCACACTGTCGCCCATGGCCTCTGTCATGCTGGCCGTGACCAGTCTCGCCATCTCGCGCGAGTTCCATCTGACGGGCCCGTACGCCCCCAGTCTGCCCACCGCATTGTTTGTCCTAGGCTTCGGGCTGGGCCCTCTATTTCTGGCACCCCTGTCCGAGCTGTACGGCCGGCGCATTATCTACCTAGCCTGCTTTGTCGCCTTCACCATAGGCAACATCCTCTGCGCAGTGGCGCCCAACATGGCGGCCTTGGCCGTCTTTCGTCTGGCCTGTGGCATGGCCGGATCGGCGGGCCCCAGCATCGGCGGCGGCACCATCCGGGACATGTTCACGCCAGAGACCCGTGGCCGCGCCCAGTCGGTATACAGCTTTGGCCCCACGGGCGGGTCGGCCCTTGGGGGAATCATTGGCGGCTTCATCCTGGCGGGCACCGGCAACTGGCGGTGGGTGGCGTGGGTGATGGCCATCGCATCCGGCATCACCTGCATCGTATCGGTCTTCTGCCTGCATGAGACGTTCCCGCCCTATCTACTGCGCAAGAAGGCGTCCCGGCTCCGGGCCGAGACGGGTAATGACGCCTACCGGAGCTCGTTCGACAGTCCGCTTGGCCATCGACAGCTGCTGGCACGCACCCTGACCCGGGCCGTCCACATGCTCCTCACGGCGCCTGCGTGCACCGCCATGAGCCTCTATATGGCCTTGTATGTCCTCACCCTCCAGGGTCTAAGCGTATCTTGTGGAAGTGCCACTAACCCGACTCCAGAATCTACGGTATCCTGTACCTCCACATGGTCACCCTGCCGCTGCTGTACTCGTCCGAGCCCGCGTACGGCCTGCCCTCCTACCGCTGGCCGGCTGCCCTGACCGGGCTGTCGTATCTGGGCGTGGGAGTCGGGTCGTTCGCCGGGGTCCTCGTCTGCGCGTTGGCGCTGAACCGCACCTACATTCTGATGAAGGCGCGCGAGGCCCGGAAGGGACGGTCGACCGACAGCACGGGTCCCGAGTACCGCATGCCGCTGATGCAGGTGGGCGCCTGCATTGTGCCACTGGGTCTGTTTATCTTCGCTTTCACCGCGCGCATCGACGTGCACTGGATCGTGCCGCTGATCGGGGCCACGGTCTTCTCGTCCGGCATGCTAATCACGTACATCTGCGTCACGACGTACCTTGTAGACTCCTTCGACCAGTACGCAGCCAGCGCGCTAGCCGGGATGACGCTCACCCGCAGCGTCCTGGGCTGCGTGTTTAGTCTGATTGGCTTTCGTCTATACGAGTCGTTGGGCTACAAGTGGGGCACGCTGATGCTGGCCTTGCTCTGCCTCTTGATGATGCCGCTCCCGACCATCTTCTATTTTTTCGGCCCACGTTTTCGCCGTCTCGGGGGGTACGGGCTAGACCGAGAATCGGTGTAATTGTATTGTTTTTATGTAGACCGTGATAGACCGTGATTATTCTTAGCATAGACCATTCCATATGACTGTAGATTATAGTACGGTAAGGGTAAACTGATGAGACTACAGAGCCCAAGGGGAAAGACCAGATGGAAAAAGGTAGAGACAGACAGAGAGTCGAGACTGACGAAGTTGGTTGAAGCTATCTAGAATGTAGAAAGGGAAAGAAGTCTATCTACCCGGCACTGAGCGCTGACACCTCCGAGACACACCCCTGTCAATCTTCACCCAAATACGAGGTGGTGGCTTGGCAGGGACGAAATCCCTGCTTATCTGTCGCACTGTCAGAAGTCCCCGAAAAAGCGCCGGATCAAGTCATACTTCTGTGAGCATGGTGGAGATATGTTGTAGCTGAAGTGATTCGGATTGCAGCTGCCTGGCGGTGTTGGATAAGCTGAAGCTCAAGGTCTAGCCCTGGTCTGGGTAGCCTCATCACGACTGCGATATTGGAGCTCCAAAGGTAATTCCTGTTCTCAAAGCTCAATGTTAGGTAGTTATAAATAGTCGCGACAGTGCAATTCCCACGTCAAGCCTATTAGGGTAATTAGAAGCACTGGTCTGATACGAACCATCTCATTCTCCCATACTCAGACAGCTCCATGGCGCCGCAAGCACAGAGACTCTCTCCCTTGGGTCTGAAGCAGAAACTGCCGTTGGTAAGTTGCCTCCACCTGGATAGAAATAGTCTGGGCTCTAATCAATTGCAGAACGACGCAGTCGCTCGCTCGGTGGACCAAGGTCGCGATGCTATCCAGCGTGCGCTGAAGACTACTATCCCGTCAACACGGACGTCCATGGCACCGCATCCCGGGCTCCTGGTCATTGTCGGACCCTGCAGTGTGCATGATCCAGCTGCGGCATTGGAATACGCCCGCCGACTTGCGGCCGCGGCGGAGAGGTATCGCGGAGAGCTGTTGATCGCGATGCGGGTCTACATCGAGAAGCCCCGGACGACCGTCGGCTGGAAGGGCCTCGTCCACCACCCGGACCTGGCGCAGGGGGCAGCGTCCGATCTAAACCGCGGCCTGTTCGCCTCGCGTCAGATCATGCTGCGCGTGGCCGAGCTCGGCCTGCCAGTCGTCACGGAGGTCTTGAGCCCCCTCGTGTTGCCGTTTGTCCAGGACGTCCTGGCATGCGGCGTCGTCGGCGCCCGGACTACAGAGAGCCAGCCGCACCGCGAGCTGGCCAGTGATGTGCCCATGCCGATGGGATTCAAGAACGGCACGGACGGCTCGCTGGGTGTGGCCCTGGACGCTATGAAAGCCGCCGCGCAGCGCCATACCCTGGTGTCTGTGGACGATGAGGGCTACCTCGTTGATCGTTTCAGCGCCGGCAATGACGACACGTTCGTTGTCCTGCGCGGCGGCAAGAGCGGGCCCAACTTCGGCCCAGAGCACATTCTCCAGGCAGAGGCTGCTATGGTCCAGGCGGGCCAGCCCGTCCGCCTCGTCGTGGACTGCAGCCACGGCAACTCGATGAAGGACTATCGCAAGCAGACTGTGGTGGCGGCCAGCGTAGCTCAGCAGGTCGCTGCGGGGGCTCCCATCGCGGGGGTGATGCTCGAAAGTAATATCTACGCTGGTAAGTGCCCTCGCACTCTGTTGTACTGCAGTCTTACTGATCAATGACCACTAGGCCGACAAGATATCTCTGCCGATGGACTTGCCGGACTCCAGTACGGCGTCAGCGTCACGGATGGCTGCATCGGCTGGAAGGAGACCGAGCTTGTGCTGGACGAGCTGGCAGCCGCCGTGCGCGTGCGGCAGGCTGTGGCGCCCAAGCCCGTGGCCCTGCATAGCCGACGGCGGTCGTCCGTGCAGCAGTCCATGGAAAAGCTGCGGCCAAATATTTCCATCCTGGAGTTTTCGGGATGAGGGTGTTTGGGATGAGAAGGCGGAAAGATGATCAAATGATAGATGACAGATGGTTGTACGGAGGTTTCTCCGCTCAAGTTGCTTGCGTTACCAGACTGTAAGATGGGCCACTATTCGATAGATTGGATATACACTGTTTCCACTATTTGTTCATTTGTTCGCGTTATTCGTGGTTGCACTCGCTAGGGGTCTGTAGACTCTTTGTATGTTTATAGAATTATATATGAAGAATAGTGTTATCAAAAATGTTCTAATACCACCCTAGGAATTCGGTTAAGTATTTACATTGCCTAATGGAAATATAATCGTCCAACGTTTGATCATATTGTAGAACCCCCGTCAGGGAATGCAAGATCAATTCAAGACTGAAATATATTGCACACCGCGAAAGCCGCCGCCTATCACAGCGCCACCAACTATGGACTTGAAGAAAAGAAAATCTTCCGGGCAAACCGTCTATACACCCGAATCAATTTCCGGCACCAAGTCCACCCCCTTATAATCAGCCCAGTCGCGGCAGGTCTGGTAGACGCTGTGTGGGATCTCCATGTCCCGGATCTTCTCCGGATGTTCCTGGTCATAGTCAGCACTGGTATTAATCGGTCTGAGCGATTAGACGAGGATAAACACTAACCAAGATATTGACATAGAGTCCCGCGCTGACATGCCACGCCAGGTGGCAATGCAATGGCCACACCCCCGGGTTGTCTGTGACAAAGTCCATCACCATGTAACCGGGCCCCTTGACGGGGTCGCCCGGCCGCAGGATAAAGGTATCCCGCCGCATGGGGTTCTT